GCAGTGTTAGGTTTACGGTTGGACTCAATGATCTTAAAGGTCTTTTCCAACCTAAATGATTCTATGAAACGCTGCAATTTTGTTAGTAGATAAATATATGTGTTAAACGAGGGGCTGCTACAAGCACTGAATTGTATGCTTGATTTTATAACTGAGAATTGTCCCATTCTAATAAACATGAATCTTTAACATATTTAAAGCTAAGTTTTTAGTGGTTTGCTTAATTAAGGTACTAGACACTTCATTTTTTACTGAAGAAGTTCTCAATGAAAGCAGTGAGATGGGAACTTCTGCATAAAACCTTTGTCATTGATAATGGCAGTCTGCTGAAGTGAAACGGTTTGTGGCAGCACACTGATCTCAGGGTTTCTGTTGGAAGCTTTTTCGAGTTGTTTCTGGATAAGATGAGGAAAAGCAATCCCGGAATAGCCCTGTGGTTGGGGAACACAATGGATTTTTGAGAGTTATGTTGGAGTCTGCTCTGACTTACTCAAAACAGGTCTGGAAAGTAGATTTGTTTTGTCTAGTTTCTGTGACTTTATAACAAGAAAAGCTAATGGCAACATTCAAAACTGAAATACAGTAAATTACTACCTTTGCCTGTTCCTTGTTGTGTGTAATTGAAAGGACTCCAAATTGGATCTTGTATCCTGGATGGTTTTCAGGACAGGGAATAATTCAGAACAACAAAAATGTGGTAAACAAGTATATTTAACTCTTTTCTTCCCCACTGAAATAAAGCAAGATTATTCAAAGCTTTGCTGATAAATTCTGGGGGAAAGCATATCAGACTGCAGATGTGGGACTTGAAATATGCAGCCCTCGAGAGCTAAGAATTAGAATGACTGTCTTAGATAAATTGCTTTTTTTTCCTCTCAGTGTCAGATGATTTTTAATTCTGAACTTGGCATTTCACAAACTTGTCAGTCTTCACTTTCCTACTGTAATTTGGCAAGTTAGGATGTGTTGTAAAGGTACGGGAGCCTTAAGGACATACTGGAGTCTTTGCTGCAAACCTATTGTAAGACTATTTTAATTTTGTATCGTCCTATTCAATTGCCATGGCCAAGAATAACCTTCACCTTAACTTCTGTCAAGAACAAGTAAGGCACTATAGTGTTATACCTACCCTTCTAATGGCGGTCCATCTGTGCCACTAACATGTTCAGGACTCAGCCCGTTTAGTCCAGTGGTAAAGGCTTGTGCTTTAGCATTGAAGGTCCCTGTCATTACACAAAACTAATTTCTTAGCAAAGGACAGTACGCTGACCACAAACATAGGACAGTTTCTTTTAGATACCCATCCTTCCACCCTCAGCCTGTATGAACACAGACCCACTGTTGCCACAGTCTCCACACGGTAGGTGCATTTTGTACCAGGTTGGATCCTCTCTGTATTTGCACACCCTGAGCAGCAAGCGAATGCAGTGAGAGCTGAGAGTGGCGAGCTCTCCTTCCTAAGTGTATTGCGTGTGCCTTGAGTGTGGCTGCTGGAGGTCCAAAAGAGCAAAAGGTCACCACCCAAAGCAATAGTGCACAAAGCTGAGGAGTGGCAAATGACTACCTGGGGAGAATAGCAAATAAAATTGAACAGCATTAAATAGCGGAGATCATTGTTCTGATCAACTGTGCATTTGTCATTTCATATTGTTGTGGCACTGCGCATATGTGGGACTGAGTGAATGCTATAGTAACGTGAGTGGTAAAACGTTACACCAATCTTCCAGCTGTTTCAGCTATATTAATACTTACTTTCATGTTTTCATTTTGTAATTCAATACAAAGTTGCCCTACCAGCACTGGTAATTAGCTGGGAATATGCAGTTTAAGACAGGGTTCTGGCGTATCTGTTTATATTGGGTTTATGGAGGATTAAATCATGGGAAAACATTTTAGTAACGTGCTAATTAAAAGTAAGATAAAATATTTAACAACTTGATAATACCTTGTAAAAATGTGGAATGTTTAATTAAGGAAAACAAAACAAAATTTCGTCTTAAAGATGGTGATACTGTCTCACATCTCAAAAGAAAGTGAAATTACTGCCTGCCTTTGATGAACTGTTTCACTTGGCCTCTTTGGAGATGTTTGCAGGAAAGCCCCAGGTTAAGCCTCATGCTCTGCTGGTTTGCTTGCTGGGAAGTGTTTTGGCCTGAGGCGTTGTACTTCGGGAGTGCCTGGTGGCAGCCTGGCAAGCCCAGCTGAGAGGGAGCTGTCTGGGCTGTGTGTAAAGCTGAAACTGTTCCCCTGCTTTGCAAAGTTTCCCTTTTGAAAAGGAGTGGGAATAGTTACCATTTAGAAACTAATGGAAGCGAAGACCATGCAGCTCTGATAATGGCTTTTCTGAAAACAGCCAGAAAAATGGCAAAGATTGAAGCTGTAAGAAGAAAGAGAGTGGAAGGAACAAGGAGACCGCAGAGTCGGTGTCAGAATTGGGGTGCACCTCTGAAGGGGCACTGGCAATGGTGCACTTGCACTTCTGAGCAGCAGGGTATCCAAAAGAAAGCTCGATGCTTGTTAGTGAAAGGCCTCAGGAGTCAAGTATTATTATTTTCCAACCTCAGGTGAATCTATTTGTAAAAAAAACCAATTTTTTTGGAAAAAAAATGGAAATCTAGAATAGATGTGAAAACCATAGAATGTGTTATGCCTGTACCATCCTTTCTCAGATACTCAACGTCCAGCCATCATCAGCCATCTACAGTCCATCTAGGACTTTATCTGAAAAGAGACAGCAGGTGAATTGATAAATACAATTATGTTGTCTTGATGTTAAGAGTATGCAGCAAGTTATGTGGAAAAGCAGTTATGTTCTTGTAGGTCAGCTGGACTGAGCTGTATAATGTTCTAGTGACAGTTAAATATGTGTGGATCAGGAAGAAGTTATTTTATTTAACTGACAGTCAATACTACAAAAAATAATGAGATAAAAAAGTGCTGCTTTACTCGCAAAGAAAACCAGGGTATTATAAAACAGCCTATATTGTCAAAAATTAATAGGAAGGATGAGAAGAGATCTGGAGGAAGGCAGTGGCACATGTTGCTGTATAGACATACATCACACTGATTGAATCTATTTAAGCAAAACCTTCCACTGAGTGCTGGGAAGATACAAGTGAATTTGCAGAAGTATCCTTGTAATCATCATCAACGTTGAGGCTGCTTAACATAATGTCAAGAACCTGCAAAATCCCCAACCTCCAATTACCGATGATGGAGCAGCCAAATAACGTGCCTGGAGACTTCTGCTGGGAGCTGGGCACATTACCTTGGGATTGTAAGTGATGACAAAGCATAACTTGAAAACAGACTCATCTGTGTAATTAGTAATCCAGAGATTTATTCACAGTCAAAGAACATGATCAGTTAATTAAATTGGTTACTGTGGACTTGATACTGTCCAGAGGGGAGTATCAGGATTTCCTTTCACATGAAAAGTGCAGCTGTGGGTGTGCTGATGGAGATGTCATGCTGCATAGGGCACAAGAACAAAATAGATTTTAAGAAGCAATTACCCCCTTCTTGTTGGCTGACCTCCCTCATCCAAAAGACAGAAGGAAACGATCTGCTAAATAAGAAGCACTTTTAAGGCAGTAGTTGCTCAACCCAGCCCATACATTTTGACTTCTGACTCTTTACGAAGCCCTACAAAGAAGCTCCATGTCTTCAATCAGGGTTTCTGTTTACTACAAAGGAAAGTGTGTCTCCTGTAGTCTGGCAAGAAAACAAAAAGGAGAATTGGTGCTCCACCTCCGTAGGAATGGGATGGCAATTACATTAATATATGAGAGACACAGTAACTGTAAAATGAATCTTTTTCAGTGTTTGGATATATCTATACAAAACTGCGAAGAGGCTTGATTCAGTAGTCAGAACATAGGTTTAGAGCCATTGGAGGTGGGGTATAGTATGATACTTGGATCTGCTGGGGAGTGCCATGGCCAGGTGGGCTCAGACTGGTAGCTAGCAGGTCTGCACTGCACTTACAGTTCAGCACTGGCGTCATCCTGAGTGATTTGGGCTGTTGCTTAGTCTTGAAATGGAAATATGCCATGCATGACTACCCTGAAAAAATTCCAACCCCAGAGATATGCAGACATTTGGTATTGTAATTATACATATTGCTGTTCTCACCAAGTTTACCTTGTTATTTTTACAGTCCCTAAATTAGTCTGAATCTTGCATTGTTTAACAGTGGTTTAAGTATTTCAGTAAAACTTAGAGAAGTGAATTAAAACTGATCATAAAATATAAACAACTAGCTTTTCCTGGCCCCATATATCCACAGTTTGGTCCAATATAAACCACTCCCTCCCAAATAAAAAGCATGCTATTCCAGCATGGGAATACAGTGAAGCTCCCCAAGGTGCACATGTCCATCTGGGTTCTGTAAGCAGCAGGACTGTGTCCTGCTCATCCGTTATGTTAACAGAAATCTTTTCAGTGATTCATGTGCATCAATGCTTCAAGGCCCTTTATAGGACCTCCTTTTAAGGGTGCAATTCTGAATGCTCTGTGCATGTCTTTTATATTTACAGCTAACAGTATTTCTCTATATTGTTCTTCTATATCTCTTCATTCAAAGCAGTGTCTTTTCAAAAAAATGCTGCTTCTCATATTAATGGGATTTTAGTATCTTCAGCTTTTCATATTTCATTAACATATAATAGGATTTTTTAAAATGAAAACTTTATAGAAAAATGTAATTTTCCAAAAATCTTTGCTTTTCAGTAACAGTTTTTGTTCATATTAATATATATTGCTAATTATTAAAATACGGGATTTCAAAATAAGTAATAAATGAGAACTATTATGCAAAGAATGAAAAAAAACTTCTTTGAACATAGCTAACTATCATTTTGAAATTTTAATGACTTTTTTTCTCTTCATTCAGCAGCTTTACCTTTTGACAATTTAGTATATTAAATTATTGCTATTTAGTCAGCTTTACCTTTTGACAATTTAGTATATTAAATTATTGATTTTTAGTATAAGCTCCTTTTATTAATGTCATAGGTGCTTTTACTTTAGTAGATGAAAGTGATTTCAAAACTGTTCTTGTAATTTTGCGTGATATTATGGACTAATCTTTCAGAAAAATGTAAGAGTATAAGCTGGCATTTATATTGCTAATTACTAAATTGAGGAACATTTGATTTGATGGCACTCCAATTCAGCTGAAATGTAACTGAGACCCTTACTCAACTGAGAAGTATTTTTGTTCTGAATATGTATTGACGTGGTTAATGGTTAATTGGCAGACTGTATCTTTGCAGCAGAATACCCTTAGCACTGAGGGCACTCAGTGCTTCAATTATTTATGCTTTGCTGAAAATTTCTTTGTGCTGAAAATATTAACAGTTGATTTAAGGCTGAAACCTTTTATTCATGTATTAGGTATTTTATATTTCAATGGCAAGAAGTTTTCTGCGGGGTATATGTGAGTTCCCTAGGTAGGAAACAGTTTTGTTCTAACTCTTTCTGGGTTTTGTGGGGCAAATCCCGTCTGTGTTTCCTGTCTGGCCTCATGTCTCTGTTACCTGTATTGATTTCAAGTGCTTTGAGGGAGAGCGTAGTGGTTGCTGTGTGCACACAGAGCACCAGGTACCACGAGCCCCATCCCTGGCTGGAACCTGCACCAAGCAGCTGCCGCCCGGGAGCCGGATTTAGCTCTAATGCAGAGCGTTGCCTTGGTTTTCAGCAATGCCCTTACCTCTGGTCATTCAAGCAAGTGAAGCCCCTCACCGGCTCTTGACTTCTGCAGCCTCGGATGATCAGTGGAGCCATTCACTGTTTGCTTTGATACCCTCATGGACAAAGAAGATTTTGTTCAAACGAGAGTCTTCTGTTAACCGCCAACTGGTCAGTAAAAGATGGTTTGCCACTTCTAATATTTGTAAGGATTGTAGCAATTATATCAAAAGTGAACGCTGCTGGGAATTTACTGCCCAATTAGTACATTTCTAATTCTCTCTTGGGTGATTATGTTCACTTGAGATGGCTTCAGCAACACCAGCTAGTTGTGAGACTTCCAAAGAATTATTGTGACAGATACAGCTATGTGATTGCTGTGTAAATTCTGATAGACAGTAATAAAACAGATCTGTATAGTCTGATGAACTTTGTGCGTAGTGTATTTTGTTAGGGAATTGTGATAGCCAGAAGATGAATACATCAATAAAGATGCTAATAATTACTTGTGGGAGTAAGTAGTTCATATAAATTTGGACTAGAAAAAAGGATTAACTATTGGGATAACAAAGCTCTTAAATTTGAAGGCAATTAATACCCCTAATTTTTTTTTCTCATTATTTACATAATTTAACTTGGGCTGCAGTTTGTGAATTACGATATTTTCACACTCTATGTAGACTTTTCCACTTCCTCCACAGCCTGAAGATGTGTCCAATATATCAGTGTCGTCTGGATTTGGAATAACCCTTCAGAAATGTGGTGTGGTAAGTTTTCTTACATTTCTCTTGTTAATTTAGTAGGAAGTTTGTACCCAAATGTCCTTTAAAAAGTGAAAACAGAATTGTGCCCATGCTGAGTATTTGGGAGAAAGTCCATTTTGATGTTAAGATATTTGCACCCTCTGTAAGAGGCACAGTTTTGCAATGTTGATTCAAAACTGAAGGAAGTCGGTAAAATCTTCTCTCAGACTTCAGGGGATTTTGGATTGTGGTCAAAGTAAATACTTCAGTGTGAATTTGTAAAACTATAAATGGGCAAAGCCCAGTGAACTCTAGAAATCAGCCACAAGGCTGGGTAGAGATAGAGACAAACTTCTTTAGAGGATGAGATAGGCCTTCTGAGATACTCTCCTGGCTCAACCATGGGTGCCCTACCTGTGTCAAGTATAGACTCCTTTTGAAGGATGGGGCACTGAGCCCCGTGATGCCCATTGTGTCTTTGGGCATCCTATCACACAGCCATAGAAGAGCTAGTGTGTCATAGTCTGCATATTCAGTGGGACTCAGCTACAACACAGTATTTAATGAAAAAAAGGTTTCATTTAACTTGTGTAAAATGCTTATGAGGAGCAAAGACCTCCCTATCATAAGGAAATTTTAAACCTTCCATTTTATTTTTACTTTATGTGGCATAGATTTACCTAGACTGTTATTTTTCCTTTCTTTTTTTTTTCCCCCGGGTTTTTTTTTACACTGGATGAAGCAAGTCTGAATTTTTATAATTAGAGACAGTTCATCTTCCCTGTCCCTTGGAGAGAGAAAGCACATCCAACTTTAAGACAAATCTGAATTTAGCCACTGAAATGCTGCATATGAGGGTAGAGGATTCAGTAACCAGTACAGAAGAGGTGACATTATAACCTGCACCAGATCATTTGCATAGAGAAGAATGAATATGCGTCACATCTCATGGCACTAATTACCTATAATGTTGTTATTGAAATGGCGGCATATCATAATTAATGAGGCTGAATAGTGAGCATTTCAGACATAAGCCATAACACAGAATCTTCCGCTTTTCCAGCTGTAAATTGCCAATTTTTATATTAGAGCCTCTCAGAAAGAGAATTTGAGACAGTTACATGTTGTTTTTTTCTGCTATTCGTAGCACAGCCTCACACATGCTCATTAAAAATTCTGCAATCCTGCTGTACAAGATCAAAGTTACTCTGTTGTAGATGCTGGGATTATCAGAAAATAATTTTGCAGTGCTATTAGTTGTAAATTACTGAAAACTATACAATTGTATGTGATTGTCTTCCACCTTCAAATGCAGTTCACATTTTATTTTCCTTTGCTTACCTTGTCATCTACTTAAATCCTAATTTGTCTGAACAGATGCTTTCCTGCTAAGAGACAGACTGGCCATATGGTGGTCTTTAGCTGTTTTAAATGGAAAAAAGTGAATTTTGCACATTTTCCTCCTCCTACCATGAGTGGCTCCTCAGACCATGGAGATGACATACGTTTACTTCTTGGAGTCAGGATTTTTCCAACACCTTATCGCAGAAATACCCTTACTGAAACTGGGGTGTTTAAATCATACCTATGCTTCCAGCGCCCAGTCCCTCCCTTCTTTCCAGAAATGTGGTCCTTTAGGAGCTTCATTCCATAGTATGACATGAACTTTTCTGTAATAATACTTCATAATGACAATAATCTTTGGCAGAGCTGAAGTAAATCTTTAAATTTGACTGTTTGGCTTTTAACACATTTACGCGTCTCGTTTCTCAACCTCTTAAGCATTCTTGCATTGCAGATCATCTACGATCCTTCATTTTTTTCCTCCTTTCCTGTTTCTGGTTGTTTTAACTTATTCCCAAAGATCCTCTGTTACTTCCACTTCCATGGCAATTCCTTCCTCCTCTCTTTTCTCCTAGCATGTCCTTGCTCTTGCTGTGGTTCTTTCACTCTGCTCTCCCAGGTACCTGAAGTGACATGGCTTGCAGGGGGTGATGACACACACAGTGTGCTTCAGCAGCAGAGAGAAAATGGAGTACGCACTTATGCATCATCAGCGACTGCCATTGGGTTTGGTTCCTGTAGATGGTTGGCAGCATAATCATCTGCTCCAAAAGCAAGAAAAAACAACTTCAGGCAAATTAGAGGAGCAACTTAAAGGAGATACCCAGTAGCTGCTGATCCCAATGGCAGCAGTGTATGGAGGAGGTTCTTTCTTGGACATGTCAAACCCAAGAGCTTCCCTGCTGCTTGATTCTTATCTGCTGCTTTCTCCAGTGCTATCAGGAAAAAAAATCCAAATTCTTTCAATCCCTTTGCAATTTAGCTTAAAACTGACTGCCAGTCAAAAATAAAGAATACAAAGCATGTATTTAATATTAATCAGAAATGCAACAAATGTGACCTTTTGGCCACCTGAGGAAGGTTGTGGTAGGAGATAGGCGGTATGGTTGGGATACCTCTGAAGGGTTGCTTTGTTTAGTCACTGAATTAAGAATTTTATTAAACGAAACAAAACGAAGAGAAAATGCAAAATTGGTTGGAGAAGGAGAATGAACAGTGTGTGGGAGTGTGCATTAAACCTCCTGCCTAGGGGAAGGAGAGGACTAATGCTGCCATATTCCCCCACGTACCTGTGAATATACACATGCTACTTGCTCTGCCTGTTTTATTTTAGGAATTAATCTAAATTACTGTTTACATCCCCTCTCCCCAAATGTAAAGGAATATATTTGTGCCTGATTAGAAGCACAGGAAGAGACCCTGAAATCCTTATTTTTTGCCTTCATCTCACAGAAGAGCAAGGGAAAGGTATGGGAAAATGAAGGGGGGGGAAGTTTTTCTATTTCCCCCTGTTTCCCCAGGTCCCTCTTTTGCTGGTGCATACATGTTAGTCTGCACTAGCCCATCCACGCTTACTGTGGAGCATAATACAGTATTAACTCGTGCAGTTTGAACCTTGAATCTTTCAAGGTGTGTTTTCTTGTTTTGGTAATTGCATCAGGGTCTCTGCTTTATGGCTTTGGATTTTCTTTAAGTGGCTTTGAGGCTTTTTTTCCTGTTTCATTTTGTTTGTGCTTTTTAAAGCAAGTTTCTAGCCTTTGTGACTGTGCAGGAAAGGTTGAAAGGCACGTTGACTGCATCATGCCAGTTCAGAAACCAGGAGAGAGAAAATCTGCCCAAAATACATCATATTTTTAATATTTGGTGATTTTAAGTCTCATAAATGTTGGGGTATAATTGATATACAAAAATATGAAATTGGTAGTGCTTTTCTCACAAATATGATTAAGTGTATTTTTATACGTGCTGACAATTATTTGCAGAATCTGGTACAATAAATAGGTGGGTTTTTTCCTCCATAAAATTTGTTTAATACAATTGAGGTTGAACTTGCTGTAATAAAATTGGAAAATTTAATGTGGTATACCAAAGAGAGTTAGTTATATAAACAGATTTATTCAAATGTACTTTAATTATTGTCACTTAAATAGAAAAATGCAAACTAAGCAATAATAATTTCAATAAACTGTTTCTTTTCCTTGATTCATAAGTTATCCTAAAACTGTAATCTGTTTCTATACTGAATTAGTATGAAATACAGAGATCAATAGTGCACAATGAAATTATAACTATATATGTCGAACCCTGTGGCTGCCATGAACCCTGGTGTGATTTCTGAAGTCTGTCACAATTCATATTTTTGGACCTAATTTCTGTGGGGACTGCTTTGTTAGTTATATTTGCTAGTGTCCAGATAGAGAGTAGACATTTCCTAAAAAGGAGGAGGAAAAAAGAGAAAGACTCGGCCTGAATCATACTTTCGTTAGTTAAATAAGTGTTAATTTGCTGTCATTATTAGAAGCCTGATATACCATCATGGCTATACTATAGGCCAGCATATTATAGACCTGATAAAGTTTTAGACAATTCTGGTTTAATATGGGTTATAGGGGAAGGCGATTTGGAAGGTGAGAGGTCAGTGAGCAACTCTGTGCTTGAAGTAATTTCATTTAGAGGGTATAATTACTCAATAAGAGTTAACGGCCTAATGGAATAAATAATTAAAATCATGTGAGTGTGTGTTGCTAGGGATTGGTGATTAGCTTATGAACTTCACCGCTAACAGGAAGCAGAGCCGTGAACTCCAAGTCCACTGGTGGCTCCATCAGCCCTCCCATGGGTACGGCGAATCGAGGCAGCCGGCACCCTTCGGAGAGTGTGGTTGCTGCGGAAAAAGGGAAATAGAGACCAAAACTGCATGGAGAGAATGAATTTGCAGCCAGGGCAGCTTGCAAAAAAAACATCCTCGTGGTACAGAAGTTCAAAGTTAAGAATTTTCCAGACTGTTGTTATAAAGTTATGATCCAGTTCTGTATTGTATGAGGTATCATGGGGATATTCAGATTCTTGTTTTCACTTCTGGCTCTGCATGAGCTGGGTTTCCAACTTCTGGCTTTCTGTCCCTTTGTCTCCAAGCAGCAACTTGACATACCAAAAATTTAAATCCCCTTGGGAGTTTGAGATCAAACTGAGTGTACTGCCATTTGCAGGTCACTCAGGATGCCTTCAGAAAATAAGTTTACACATATAATGAACTTTTGTTGGTAATCAAGACTATGAATTTTGCTGTTAAGATGCACATACTGCCATTTTGCACCATTAATACTAATATTTCTGTTTTCAGGTGGATGTTGAACATGACCCTCAAACTGCATACATTACACTTCTGATTAATAACACCAACATGCTGCTTTCAACAAATGTTACAGATCTTATCCTCCTGGACAATATCACTGGTCTACATGTTCAAAAAAACAGTGGTAATGAGACCACAGATGGCATACAGATTTACAGGAAAAGATTCTTGCAAGGTAACAAAATCTGCAGGGAAGTACCTCTGATTACATGTGTGGAAGAACATCTGTTCAAATCACATAATTTATTTATTTATTTATTCATTTATTTATTATTTATGGTGGTGTAAATTCTCCGATTATCAGTTAATACAGGTGAAAAACTCTGGGAGAGGTTTTGTGCTGCAGTTTACAATTGTATTAACTCACATTTTGACTCCCACCTTTGAACTGCTTCTGATCTCCCAGGCCCAGAAGTGAGCCCCTATACTCTGTAAAAGTCGCTGCCATCAAAATGAAACAGAATCTGTCATGATAGTATTTTGTTCATTTTGGATATTTTTAAAAGCTGCTGCACAAGCCATTTTCATCATATCTGACGAGTCTTCCTTCTTTAGCCAAGCGTGGCAGATTGGCTTGCTGAGGTATTGAGGTGCACTGGAATTGCAAAAGGCCATGCAAGCAGGCAAGATGATTCATCAGAAATAAGGCAGCTCTTCTCAGTATCTGTTCTCCCCAGACTGAGCAAATTATAAAATCAAAGCAAGTAATAGAGAGAGAAACCTGTTCCACTCTTGGAGTCAGTCTGTTCCTTTGATAGCAGTTGGATCATTGCACATTCATAAAATTTTACCGTTCTTGATTTCTTCTTCTCCTTTTTCCTAAGCACAAGCACATAGAAAATTAGCAGCTTGCTTTTGAGAGTCATGATATTTCTCTTGGAGCTTCGGAAGTGTTCGGTGATACCTGTTTATGGTTGAAGTATGTAGGGTTACGACAGTGTTTTACTGGTGAAAGATTTCCAAATAGGAAAGGGAAATAAGTAGACCTGGGGCTGCTGTCTGATTGCAGATGGATAGCCAGACTCCATTTCTAATAACAGCAGTGTGAGTAGTGGTACTGATTACAGGACTGTTTTTTTTGAAAACATAAAGGAATTGCTGGCTCTCAACAGAGTTTCCTAAGAAAGAATGATCCCTGAGAAAGAACAGAAAAATGGCTTGCATAGCTGATCCAGTAAACCAAGTTGGAGCAGTTAATTTATTTATAATTACTGAATCTGGAACTGAAGCTAGCTTTTCCAGCCTGTATACATTGCACGAATCAGCATGAAGAATACTGAAGTGGAAGAAAATCCAGCAAAACAGATTTATGCATAGTTTAAGGTTTGGTCATTACTATGTCAGTCCTGGACTCAGCCCATACTTTGCCACTAGGGCTGGACAGAAGGGCTCTGCCTACACTGGCCTATGTACTGTCATGCTGCATGTTAGCCATAATAATTTTTCAGTGCTGCAGTGCACTGTGAATCAAAATCCAGCTGAAATCTCAGTCAGATTTCTCTTTGGTTTCAACGGGAGGAGAACCAACCAGTTAGTGGTTATAATGTAGGCTGTCCATTTTATAAAAAAAATTATTTTTAAATATCTCATGTTGAGTTTTAGTATCGGTCAAAACCTGATGCCTTTCAGTAGCTTGAGGCATCGTTTAATGCAGTTTCCAGATCCTGGGCCAAATTTGCTGGAGTTCTTAGAGGCAGCAGATACAAAGGATGTTGCTGGGCTCATGTGGCCAGGAACTGTCTACACTGGATGTGCGGCATCTGCTGTGTCAGAAAGGAAAAGCTCCAGTGCTGTCCCAAGCCTTCCCCCTTCCCCAGGGAGAAAATTTCCTGGGACACAGCAAATCTACCCATATCCCTCCTCTCTGGTCTCTGGACGTAGGCCTCCTCTGCTAAATTCCCTTGAAGTCAGTGTTGTGAGCTTATTGCAGCTTCGTTCCTAGGAGAGCGCTTTTGCTGGTGAGGAAGCACAGTCCAAAGGGGAACCTAAAGAGCTCCTCAGATGTTTTATTCATATTGAACTTGCTTTTCAAATTTTGCAAACAACTGTAACTGCAGCTGAGCACAGCTGGGTGCTCCACTCTTCAGACATTCACACCCGGTCTTCTTGTGTAAAGAAAGATGTGCAACTGTACTGGGTTGTTTTCAAGTCAGTGTAGCTACTGCTCTGTTTAAGAAAATGCAGACACAATTACTTAGAGGCCACTATTGCACTGGCAGATGTACCTCACCTGCTTCATCTACACTGTTGGGTG